GAGATACGGAATTACGTAACATATTTTTACGTTGCGCTTATAATAACGGTATGTCGAAATGAAAAATGCTGGCGGATCTGGTTGTAGGAGACCTACATAGAGTTAATAGCGGCTGGAGTATCGCGTGGCGCCGCTACCTCCTGAGATAATCGAGCGGGGTGTGCACGGCTGCACGGGTGGTCGATTAGGTTTTAAAACGCGCGACCGGTAATTTCCAGATCTGAATGGGACGGAAGAATGGACCCCGTCTCGTAATAGTTGATTAGGTCGCCACACGGACAATGCCCGGACTATTATCAGCCGTGATCGCGATCACTGAATGCTCTCTTTATCAGCCGTGATGTCAATCAATCGAAGACTCCCCCTCGAGCCAGTCAGAATCACTGGCCCGAAGGGTTGAAATCAGATCTCGATACTCTCGTTAATAATTAGAGGAAAAGGTAGTATTCTGGTCTCTCCCATTTACGTTTTTTACAATAACTTTGTTAACAATCAAGTATTTTAAATTGAGAATTATTACTTAGGACATTATTTAGAAAAGCATGGCGACGCTGCGTGGAATGGATTGAAGAGAAACAGGAGCGATAACGTGGCCTCGAGTTAAAATAGATTTGAAAAATTGGTTTTGCTTAAAATAACGCAGAGTTTTGTTATAAAATTACACACGTGTTCAAGACAAAAGCTCTGAGGAATAACGATGAATGTAATCATAAATTTTTAATGTGGATACTGACTTACTTGTCAGGAGATATCATTCGTCAGAAGGATAGCAATGTAGTACAGACAGAAGTATAGTAGTGAATTATAGATTAAAATCGATTTATCCATTGACTGCCCCGACATGAAAACTTCAAAACAGAAATCATATAATCAGCACTCTTAAGAAGCCATACCAGCAAGATACCATGCTATTGTTTAACTTTGCGTAACTCGAAAATGTATACAGACCGAATGAAATGTTGAATAAAAAACAAAACACTCAAATGTACATATATTCGTGTAATAATGCGCTCAAGTTTAAGAAGGATGAGGAGAAGTACGTATAATTAAATACTAAAATATAACTTGAGAACATTTCGAAATATTCAAAAGTAAAAATAGAGTTATAACAAATCCCAGCTATCGTGTATTGACATAAATGATTCCATAAGTAATCACGAGAATTCGTCGCTTAATAGTAAAGATACTAAGAGGGGCCGTGGTATCTACAAAGGCCATAATACCATATCCTCCTCTAATAATTCTTAGAATAGTGAAGTGCGATATATAGTGTTACATGACTGTACAATGACGTATTGTACAAAGATCAAGATTATATAAATTCTTCAATTTGACATCCTTCGGCATTAATACGTAGTATTAGTTAAAAATTAGTATGTCGTGATTTGAAGTGGATTAAGTAACCGCACGCGAAGAACATCATGATTGTTCTTTATTTGTTCACACGCATCAATACGACATTATTAATTCAGCTCGAATATTGACTCTTCTTTCATATGTTAAACTTTCACTCTTTATGTTTTCTTTCTCATATATTCTTCATTTTCAATAAAACAATATTCATTTTCAACAAAACAATATTCCATAAAACTGTATTTATTATTTATATAAACTTTAGATACTATGTAGATGAGTGACCGTTTCGAATTGGATATTTAAAAGATAATGTTTACTTCAATTTACATCAGAAAAATCTTTCTTAATTTTACACGATATGTCAGAGCGGTAACACCATGTATGATCTGATTTTCTTACGAATCCCAGCGCGAGTGTGATTCTTCCTCCGGAGAAAACCAGCTAATGAACCGCGCGCAGAATTAATTAATTAGACGGCTAAAATATGATCCGTTGTCGCGTAATACCGTAACATCGTGTACACCGCCCGTTTATTGTGTGTTGCGCGGCTAATATAAATCGCTCGCTCGAGCTTTGTTCGTTCGTTCGTTCGTACGTACAAGTTTGCGTGGGATGAACTTACCCGCAATTCAGCCGGTCCCGCGAACTTCCTCACCTAACATCCTTCATTTTCACGAATCTGCAACAGGCGACACACACACACACATTCGCAATTGTAAAGAGAGAGCCCCGAATGGCGAAGTTTCGAGCGGCAATCTCGTTCCTCTCGGATATGATGCGCGCGTTTTCGCGGCGGTTTATCGATCTAAGGGGATCTAAAAGACTCCCTCTACTCTAAGGGGTCTCTGGATACACGGCTGAGAGTCGTTTAAAATTCAGCACGAGCCGGCAAAATGAAACCTCACGAGGTTATATATCGTCTTATCCGCATGCCGCGACGGCGGCACGAAGTTGAACAATTTAACGCTATCGATCACCGGCCTGTCGCGGAAAGCGACGCGCGATGTCATCATCGTGTAGCGGTGCGCGCTCATTACCGGCTGAAACGAATTACCGTTCGAAACGAATTGGCCACTTCCCCGCCCGAATCAACCGATCGCCCGCAATCAGCGACGCTTGATAACGTCGTGATAAGCGGCGTCGAGCGATCAAAATCCGTCCGCCGGGCGAGCGAATGAATGCGCGAACGAACGAGCGTTTTAAAGATGTATCACACCCGATATCTCGAAACAATGGAGACAATTATGAAAAAGTTACAAACTGATCTACGTTGCGTTTAAAAGTGAACACGAACAATTTCACAGTAATTAAGAGCCGGGATCAAACGCTTTCCAGCTTCTTACCTGTGTCAATTACTTCTTCCAATTCCTCCCTCCGACCCATAACCGGATATTTCGTTCGAAACTTCCCACTTAGATATCGAATTAGATCAAGTTCTTTTCTATTTTCTCGTTAACACTAACACAGCGCGCGCTCTCACTGTCAGTATTCGTACTCGAGCTTAGGTATTAGACATCAGCGTTCATTGTTGTCGCCCCCGCTTTTGCGTGCATCGTTCCCCGGCCTCGTAATATTAATACGCACGTTCTCGTTATCGCGATTCCGCGCGCGCTTTTGTACTGTACTTGTACTCACTTCGGCTCGCGCTCACGGTCGAGTGAAAGCATGCCACTGCCGTGCGGTGATTGAAGGAATGTTTGATAAGGGAACTCAAGAACACGGAACGGGAGACGATAATCGCAGGTGTGGTCGGATCTCGCGGGACCGATCGTGACTCGTATCTACGCGGCCCGCCCGACTCTCTCTCTCTCTCTATCTATCTCGTCCGCACGGAGAAAACACATTTTGCTAGAATAACAAATGTTTGTTAGTATAGTGATAGCAAATAAAAATGTGTTCAGACAGCAAAAAGTTTGGACAGCAGATTTGTTAAGAGTACTAATTGCTACTTGTTGGATATATGGACAATTAATACTCTTAACAAATCTTTCTGCTGTCTAAACAAATTTCTTTTTTTGCTGCCAGTATATTGACAAACATTTGCTGTTCCAGCACAATTTGTTCTTTTTCCGTATGTTGTCACGACAGGTCCAGGGAATTTTTTCTTCGCAGTCCTCTCGCGCTATCGATTTTCTATCGTGTCTCGCGATTACGAGTGATAAATCGTACCAAGGCGAGTCCTAATAATATAAGTATTAAGCCAACAGCGAGCAAGCGCGGACAAGCGCGGATAAACGATAAATTTGCCCGTGGGACGACTTCATTTCGCATCGAGCTGCTCGCAACCGGGGTTGCAACTTCATTAATGCGTCGGGAGGGAGGTAGAAATACGAGTACCGCTGGGAACGGAAGCGGCGGGGTGAGCGTGGGAAAAGAAAAAAAAGGAAAAAGCAGAAAATGAAAGAAGAGGGAGGAAAGAGAAAGAAAGAGAGACGCGCATAACGCGGAATAACGCGAAGTGGGGATGGAGCCCGGCATACGGCCGCGAGTTTCCAGCCACCCCCGTGGTAATATATATGTATCAGCTCGCCTTTCTCCCTCAAATATGTAAAAATACGTAAAGTTGGCGGACGCGCCACACCGCACCCGTTGTCCCGGGGCGGAAAGCCGGTCAACGTGTTTACGGACTTTACGACGACGCTTCTATGAGCGGGAACCGGCGAGTTTCAAACAACACGTTGTTACGGTTTCGGCGGAGTCGATGCTCGCGCGCGCGGTATTTATTTCTCATCCTATACAGGTCCTGACAAAGGTCGGGGCCAAACTTATGCACAGAGAAAAAGGTCTTTTTAGATTTGGTACTTCTATTTACTTGACTAGCCTTGTAATTAAAGAGATTTTCTTAAAAAGACCTTTTTACTCCATTATGGAACTTTAATTATAAGACCAAACAACTTAAAGAACGATTGAATATTTACGAAAATAAAAAAAAAACAATCGGGTGCTCCGCCAAATAAAACACATACTCGATCTGTTGTTATCGGCGCTCAACTGCCAAAATGATGTTTAACGTTTCCCACAGTTTAGAATGAATGATATTACCCACATAAAGGAAAAAAAAAGGATTAAATCTTTCCATGGTTGAAATAATTATTAAAGTCAAATCTCCCAAAGAATCAGGTGTTCTCGACATTTTGCAGGAAAAAAAAAAACGATTCAAAATGGCAATGATGTTTCAGGTCTGAGGCCGTCTCAATTCGACCGCGAGGAACGCGAAGCGTCGGCCGTGCTCGGCGGGATAAGCGAGGAACGATCGCGAGCTCCTCCGATCAGAGGCGTCACCGGCGGCAACGATAAGTTCCTTCTCGAGACGATCGTCGGTTTCGACGATTGTATTGTCTCGACCTTTAAACGTCTTCCCATCCAACAACTATTACTAGTCGTGACATTTTCACGATCACCAGGATGCGGCGCTATCGCCGATCTCGGTGATTCACGAGACACTTGTCCGGTGCGTCTAACCGAACAATCGAGAAAAAGAAAGAGAGAGAGAGAGTGAAAGAGAAACATAGCTCTACCACCGAACAAGGCANGGGGGGGGGGGGGGGTTAAAGAATTAATTCCGCGACGACGATCGCGCCCCTCGTCGAAGCGGTATATTCGCGCGGATATTGTGCGCGGCGATCGCTGATCGAGACGCAAGGATTCGAGACCGAGAAAGGACCAAGGAAACATAGCGCAACGATGGGGTCGCAAAGAATATTGAAGACCACCATGCATGCCGCTAGGCACTTCAACAATACCAACAGCTCCACGAGTACGACGAGTACCACGGCCGCGCCCCAATACGGCTACTACGATACGCATACACACAGCAATGTCAATATCCTTCTTGCTGGGTGAGTACAAGGCGTGCCGGAAGCGTGTACACGTTTAATCGCACGGGAGGAGCACGAGGAAGTACGGAAGGGAAGAGACACCCGCTCTCGTCGTCGGGTGCAAGAAGCACACCTCGCTCGCGAGGAAGCTCGTGAGTTCCTCGCGCGAAAAACGGGTCCTCCGGATCGTCTCGCGTCTTTCTCTCCGACCCCTGTGAGACCTTGTCCGAAGTTTCAAGTGAAAGTTCAATGCACCGAGACTTGATTGCTAGGATTTTATGTACAGAAAAAAAGGTTTCCTTAGATTTGGTATTTCTACTTATTTGACTAGAATTTGTTTCATAGAAACAAATATATATTTATACAAAATATTATTTATTTGAGTGGAAATTTTACTGTCTCATTCAAGAAAACTCGATTATTTAACTCTATTATTGAACAGAAAGAACGTTATTATTTGAAATGATATCTTTCAACCGAATAAAATACTTGGTTACGATAAATACGTAAAATGAAGCAAATAATTACTTTACGAGAAAATTATCTTTCGTTTTAAACAAATTTTTTATTTAAGATAAAGATATATATTCGTTGAAAAGTCTAATAATCGTACTTATTAATCGAAACATTCGTTTCCTTGGAACGTATCAATGATGAAATTTGTTTCAATGCAGTAAAATTTGTTAAATTTATTTGAAGAAATCTTTTTCCCGGTGTACTGGACGCGTGACGCGCTTCGACCACCGCGAAAAAAAACACGTAAGCGTTGCTTGATCTCAAAACCCCAAAAACTCCGCTGTAGAACGCTTGTGGGTGGATAAAATAAATAATAAAGAGATAAAGTGAAATATACACGGATAAGAAAGCGAAGAGATAAAATAAATAATTAATTCGAAATGTCTCTTTTCTCTTAATATTCGCGAGCGCGCTGTTACGCAAGAACGTGGCTCGGGATAATATCTTCTCGCTCGTGCATGTTACGAAATTTGCTAGTAATATTCCATGGGACGAAACGGGAGTTAAAGGAAGTTCGCGCGCAGACAGAACGGAATGGAAAGCCGCGGCGCGCGCTGTTAAATCCGCGAGAGAACGAATTTTTGTCGAGCCACTTCGGAAATTCGAGATAATAGTATCTGTGCGGCCGAGATAGATATCAATCGAACGTTAATCGCGATCGTCCCGATACCGATGTTGACAGACGTGTGCTTATCGTGTATACATTATATCGAAACTCAGAAATGTGGTATCTGTTTTTTCTTTTTTTAATTATTTATCGTCGCGATAAGTCTTCGAGCAAAAATCCGAAACGAAATAAAAAAAATCAAGAACGATAATTATCTCGTCACAATCCGGCGCGACGCTATCTCCCGAATTAACCGCCAGATAACAAGATTGGTTGGATCCGATCAAATCCATAAATTCGCTGAGAGAAAAATATAGTTATTTTCGAGGACAACAGTATCTTTTTTTTATTTTAATCACAAAAATAGCGGTAGCAACGTACACGTAAAGTTATTATCACTGACACCACAGTAACATTTATTAGAAAAATAATTCTCTGCACTGTTTTTGTGGTTAAAATGGAAAAAGGATATTGTTGTCCCCGAAAATAACTGTATTTTTCTCTCAGTGTTCTAGTGTTTCCGCGAGCATGCTTTTAAAATGTTATATTCAGGTATATTATATATTTTGCGATATATTTTTTTACTTTTAAATATTTTCTAACTTATTGTGAGAATAAAAAGTGTCTAGTCGAGAAAAGTTGGCTGAAAATCTACAAAATGCTTCTATGGATCGGACCTAATCCATATGAACCTTGTTATCTGAGGGTTAACATCCATCCCGGGTATAAATTAATTACGAGCGTAGTGGCACGGAAGAAAAGTTTAGTTGAATTTACCAGACAGTGAACGAACGAAACATGTCTTGGTTGAAGGAAACATAATTTCTAGTCCTTATGATTCAAATTCGATTCTTATAACCAGAAATTCCATTTCCTTCGCATTTGCTCATTCTGGCTATCAAAACAACCAAATTTTTTTTCCATGTAGCTGGTTAGCCAATTTTGGAAATAGTTTAAAGTGAGGTCTTAAAGAGACTTGAATAAAATTCACCAGTCGATAATAAATCGAATAAATAATAATAAAATAATATCCTAAAGATGACAGAAGTGACGATAAGTTTGGTCTTAAGAAGTAACTGGAATTTCAACTTGTTGAAACACGTAAACCCAAAGAAATATACTGATTGGTTGGTCAATTTCCTTACTGCTTACGTTTTTCTACGTGCTCCCGGTGTAAGTAGGTTTTTATAGGTTTTTATAGGATCTTACAAGTGGGGAAAAATTATGCAGAGTTTTCCCAGTTGACGTTTCACATTTCTACCCGGGATCTGTCGGGAACGTGAAAGTCAGAACGGTTGTTTTCGTCGCCGTCATCGCACGAGCAAGCTCTCACGCTAACGTCATAAAGTTACTCCATCGACTCAACACGGCGCACGGTTGAAAGTGGTCCTTTTCAACCGNCCCCCCCGGGGGGGGGGGGGGGGACACGGCAGCACACGCTCGCTTTTTCTCCACCGGTCTCACCTGTCCCATCGTACAGCCACAACCACATATTTTTTTTTTAAGCGCACCGGGCACTCTCCCGCGCGAGCGTCTAAACGTCGCTATCTATATCGGTTTGCTTTTGACGGCGCAATCAGCGGCGTGATCTTGGTGGTGCTGATTCTGTGCTACTGCTGCCACAAAAACGTTCGGAAGCATCGGCAACACGAGAACTCGCAGCATCGGAGAGTCGAGCCGGACGACCACAGCCTGGAGGTCTTCGCGATGGATGGGAACAATCGCATGGTAAGTTTGGATCGCCGCTTGCTCTTCGGCGCCGGACAGATTATCGCAAGGGTTTCGTTGTCGTGAAAAATACTCGAGCCAAAATTTCCGTTCTACATTGAGTCTATTTACACTGAGAAATGCCATTTTAGTTGAATCAAAACAAATTCTTGCTTAAATACGGGGCAAACGTTTCGATTATAAGTACCAAGGTTTGGTTCTCTAAATCAAACTCATTTCATTTTCGTTTCGGAGAACCGAATCTCTGGTTCAGAAAGTCAAATCTTGGTTCTCATAACCAAAAGGTTTATTTGCTCATATCCGAACAAAAATTTTGTTGGATTCAACTAAGTGGGTTTCTCAATGTAGTTCTATTAGGTTGGTGCATATGAAATGTCGGATTCTTAAGTGATTGTATAAAACTGTATATCTTTCTTCAAAAGCTGTTTATTCAATCAAAGTATGCTCCATTCGCTTCAATACACTTCTCCCAACGAGATTTTAAAGCGTAGATGCCTGTCTTAAAAAAATTTTGGTCTTTAGAATTAATAAACTCTGATATCGAGTTTTTTAGACTGTCTTCATTTTCATGGTGTTTGCCTCTTAAAAACAGCTCTAAATGCTTGAAAAAATGAAAATCGGTCGGCGAGAGATCCGGTGAATATGGTGGATGCTGCAAAACTTCATATTCCAGTTCGTTCAGTTTCGCAATTGTTTTGTGCGATGTGTGCGGCCGAGCGTTGTCATGGAGCAGTAGCGGGCCATGCCGATTCACAAGCGATGGGAGTACAATTTGGTGTCTCAATATCGTTGTATGGTCAACTTTCATCCTGATAGCAAGTTCCCTCGTGGATACGGCTGGATCCGCTTCCACTAGAGCCTTCAGGTCATCATTATTCACAGACGTTTTGGGTCTTCCGCGCGGCTCATTTTGCAGTGAAAAATCGCCAGTCCGAAATTTTTCGAACCAACGCTGCACTTTCCGATTGTTAACCGTATTCTCCCCAAACGCTTGGTTTATGTTGCGTGCAGCTTTTGCAGCACTATTACCAAGTTTGTACTCATATAAGAAAATGACGCGAATGTCGGCAGAATTCATATCGGTAATAAACTCAAAAGAAATAAAAAAGGGAAGACCTTCGAGAAAACCTATTTTGTTGAAATGAGTCTCTGGCAATGGACAATACGAGTATGAATGAGGTTATGCCAAATACAAAAGTATAACGAAAACAGGGAGGAAAACGTCCGCATGTAAAGAGAATGCGACATTTCATACGCACCAACCTAATACATTTAAGTCTTCAAAGGTCTTCTATTGTGCTCCTTTGATACTACAAATGAGACGTTACTTCCGTTTTCTCCATTTAAAGACTTAATAGGGCCAAAATTCCGACTCGGATATCCTCGGGAAAATTAACGGAGGGAAAAGGTTCACATGTCAGATCAAACGTATCATTCTCTCTCTCTCCCCCTCCGTATTAACGTCTTACTGTAAATTTCGTTTTTCCATTTCCGACTGCCACCGAGAGCAAAGAACGCAACGGAGGATGTGCGCGAGTTTCACCGAGTTCGAGAATAGAGATTACCACCAACGTTTGCGATAATCGCGATATAATTGGATGCCGCCTTACCCCCCCCCCTTCCTCTGGAAATCCTTCGCTTCTACTGAACTCGCTCGAATTTTTCGCAGCGAGCAAATCCCATCAAAATATATACCTCGGCAAATCTCGGGGATAACGCTAAGTAATGTTACACGAAGCTCAAATCAGGTCTCGCCTAATTCACGCGTCACCTCGTACAGTCGTTTCTTTCGACCCGCCTCGACCTCAGCCTTCTCCCACGCGTACACGCACACGGCACCACCCATCTCTCCGGTTACACGTGCAATTAAGTAAAAATTCGCGTATCCCGTAAGTGCGCTCGCGTGTCACACACGTAGTAAAAGCGAGGAGCGCGAGAACAACGGGTTCGAATTGCACGACACGATACAACAATACGCGCGCACACTTCACGCCTACGTCTGGATGATCGCTTCTCGAGGACGAACGCAACGGAATTCGATGACGTGAAGACGAGAGCGAGAAAAGGACGAGAAATGAAATATAATATTGTAGCGAGAGAGCGGTCGAAAGACGAAAAAGCAAATAATATCAGATAATAAAGGGGACGACAAGAGAAGGTAAAATGAAAAAGAAGCGCCACCGTTCAAGTAATATTTACTCGATCCAAGTAATATGGTTACTCTCCAATACTCCTTGGCTGAATAATTACTGGAAGTAGAAATATAACTGACTATATAAAATGATATTATACAATGATATTTCCTTTATATGAGCAGACATTTACTTATATGTGTTAAAGTAATTCATAATATTGAAATATATTCATAATATTGAAAATATCATGATTTATTTTTAAAAAATATTATTGGGCAGGAAAATCGAAATTTCAGACAATTGGGTTTTTTTCGAGAAAGAAGTACTACATAATTTCAATGAATATTCTCTTAAATTTAGAGCTATTTTACATTTACATTCAGTAATCCACTTACAAACTAAAGTATTACCGCACGGAAGTTTCCTCCACGTTATTAAAACATATTTAATTTAATTTCATGGAAATATTACTCTATTTAAAAAGCTGGAAAACATGTAATCACATTTATCTGATTCTACACCGAGTGGCGCCATCTCGTTCTATCCTTTCATCATCGATGTTATCGTTTATTAACATAGAAAATGTATATTCGCGCAATTTTGATGCGCGATTTGATAGACGCTGCATTATTTAATACTCGACTCGGACTCGTATTCACTTCACGTTTCTCTTGTAACCATATTTGGCACAGGGGAAAAAAGACTCGAGTAATTAATTTTTAGTAATTAAGTCGGCCGTTAATTCAATAAAGTCCCTCCATAATGAACTAATCCTAACAACGATTTTAATTATCATTCGCCCCGAAGTGGAAACACGCATGAAGCTCGCCCTAATACGTCTGACGCGGATCTCATTTTAGTTACACGAGTATTTCTCCGAGAGATCAGCCAGCCAGACGTCTCATTCGGCGTGTTTCGTGACCTCGGAACCACCGCCGACCTACGAGAGCATCTTCGACCCGCAGGCAGTGCCTTCGCCTATCGACAAGAAAGACGAATCCGATGATTTCGCCAGCATTATCGCGCCGCGTACGGGCAGCTTCCCCACCGAGTTGGAGGCCAACTGGATCAACAAGCGAGAAGATGTCCCGAGGGACGACCAAGGTCTGCCTTCCTACGAGGCCGCCCTAAAATTGGAGTCTGACGGCTACGTCTAAGGGATTACGCCCAAGAAACACCGATTCGCCTCCTCGCTGCTCCTCCGCGAAAATCATCGAATCGTGAACACCCTCACGGGAGGAATATTTTTGGAAGTGACACGTGACCGGCGACGCGTGGACGCTATTTTTTAACGGACGTTAAATATATAATAATATATAATAGTCACTATAATAGTCAACAAGTGGGGCTGTATAATTGTTATCATTCTTTCTACTCACGGGACGATACTCCCTTTGTTACATTGAATTACCGAATTATACATATGCACACCAGCAAAGTATATGTACATTGAATATATATATTAAATATACAAAAATCATAGGAAGAACAGAAAAATAAATAAAAAGGGAAAGACTTAATTTGGCTTCCGAGTTAATACACAATTAAGTTAGTATTAATATAATAAAGTTAATATATAAATATAATAAATATAAGTATAACAGAACTAACTAAATAATGAAAAGTATCCGAAAGGGAAAAATGCGAAATAAAAGGAATCGGTTATTTTGTAGCGGCGTGATAGCAACGACGAAAGTTGTTTCGCGCGCAACGCGGGGAAGATGAATTCTTAATCAAGAGAAATTGAAGAAGGGAGGAGATAAGTGCTGGAGTTTATTTTCCAGGTCGATTCGTGAATCGCGGCTAAAGGGAGGAGGAAATTTTCGGTATGGTCCTTGGGGAGAGATGCCGGGGGAAACTTTTCTCCCCCCTGATTGCTCTTGAACGTACATAAGGATTCGTCGGAAATATGAGGATAAGGGTTTCAAGTCGAAGGGACGCGACAGAGAAAAAAGCAGAAATAAATAGCGAAGTGATTTGTCTACAGAGTTTGGTTACGAACGAAATACGGAAAATGCTAAATAATAAAGCTTCGTTCATATTTAGATAAAACGTTCCAGCCAAACTTCGCATTTAATAGCTAAAATAGCACACGGAGAAAAATAATTTATTGACACAGCAAATTTTATGCTATCGCGGTAAAATCTGTCATTTACTATGTGAACAACAAAATGATTTATTAACAATGCTAAAATGCCATTTGTTGAATTATTTTGCTGAATCTAAAAATTATTTTGCTATGAGAATAAATTAGTAAATGTAGGAAAAAACTATATTTTGTTTTAATAGCAAATTAATGTAACGACAGATTTATTCTGCAGAATTTTTCTATTCTGACAATTGATTTTGCTCAAATTGCGAATAATTCGCCAATCAGGTTATGCCAATTAAATTTTATCGCTGTCGTAACGAATGTGCGCTATGCACAGAGAAAAAGATTTCTTTAAATTTAGTAATTCTATTTATTTGACTAAAATTTGTTTCACGGAAACAACATATACGAAATATTATTTGTTTGAATAAAAATGTTATTGTCTCATTCAAGAAAACTCTATTATTTAACAGAAAGAACGCTGTTATTAGAAATATCTTTTAGCTAAATGAAACATTTGGTTACAATAAACATATAAAATGAAACAAATAATTTCTTTATAAGAAAATTATCTTTCGTTTCAAACAAATTTTTTATTTAAGATAAAGATACATATTCGTTGAAAAATTTAACAATCGTACTTATTAATCGAAACATTAGTTTCTTCACAGCATGCCGATGATGAAATTTGTTTGGATGCGATAAAATTTATGAAATTTGAAGAAATTTTTTTTCTCCCTGTAGCAACGATGTGTGCGGTCTCGCTACAACAACGAAATTATTTTTCCCCGTGTATAATATTCGAGTATAATTGCTGAACGTAACTGTTACAATGCACAGCGCGGGAATTCCTAATTGTCAATGATACACGTGCGTACGCACGGTTCGCCGGATGTACCGTAATTAGATTAGATTTGCACAGAATAAGCCATGTTTACACTTCCCAATGGTGTAACGCGGAACTATGCCAGCTCGTGCCCGTTATCAATTTAGAACTGGTCGCACGACGATGGTGCACACACGTTACCGCAGATAAGCCGACATTTATCGCGCGCGCGGATTTTCTTTGCGCGGATGCGGAGGAGATTGTGGCGCACTGGGGGAAGTAAGGAGCGGACGTAACGAGATAACTCTCGGCAATAATTCACCGCGTATTCGAGGAACCGAAGGAACGAGCTGGTGCACGAAACTGAGTGCGAAAGCAACGCTACGATAAAATCGCACGATAAAAATAGAATCAAAAGTCTCCTCGACACCGATATGTAAATATACTGAGACGTGTATCGGATCGGCTAACCTTTGAATCTTCGCTGAAACTTAATTGTCGGACGATATTTAAAGCAACCTAATCAAATTGCAAAGTGTGACATTTACGAAGACAACGTCGAGAGAGAGAGAAAGAGAGAAGTCAAATAAAAATACTGTTCGAGATAAATTCATCGACGGAACGACAACGGTCCTCCCCTCCCCTCTCGGCAAGGTGGGCGCGCTGCCGGGAGTGATTTTCTTTTCTGAACTTTTAATCGAGTTTCCATCGACCCGATAAATATATATCTCGTGCTGTTTGACGCGTCTTTTACATACACGTGCATTATTCAGCGGCCGTTCGGCGATCATTGGCGGACGAGATAATGGAGTAGGGTCATAACCGATTTATTTCATCATCGTCCTTGATTAAAGCGACCTTTACGTCCACACGTGGAGTCTGGATCAAAGGTGACGACCGTGACGCTCGCTCGACGGACGGACGGATGGGCCCTACTTTTAGCCGTTCGCGAAACACCATGAACAGAGCCGTGTGGAGCGACAAACGTCAAAGTGCGACGAATTAATTGGTCGGGGGGCAAAAGGGCACCACTGAGTGAAAGGGCTTGATGGACGAAACGAAAATACCAATCACGCTCCGGTGCGCGCTAATTGCTGACCCCGATATAGCGATGCCAATTGTAATTTTAACCTCCCCCGTTAATTACATATCTTTCTCCTTTTCTCTCTCTCTCTCTCTCTCTTTCTTCTGTGTGTTTAAACGTACAAAGCGCAACCAGAGATTCCTTCTTTTGTTCCGCGAGAGATACTATTAAATGCACGAACAGAGTGCGGACAGAGCGCGCTCGTTTATTATTAAGTTGGTTCATGCTGAAAAACATCCCGCCCGTATCTTTTAATATCTTCCCTTTCCCGCCGTGGTGGGACAGATTAAGCTCGACAGTTGCTGGAGCGGACGCAATGCGACGGGGATATCTTGACAATAGTAAATGCCGATCGATAAGCCCTCGGATAACAGGCCCGATGCTTTCCTCTGATAATTGAAATCGTAATTTTTTTCGTCGTGCCACTCTCTCCACGACTCTCGACAACGGCGAAACAATGCGCGACGATTCCTTCAAGTATTAGGCGTACAAATTAATTCGGTAGCTTTTTCCATGAAATTCAAAGTTTATTTACGGAAAGTCAAGTACAAGTTTAATGTTCGAAATAATTTCCATTATTTTCTATGGCTTTACTCCATCTATCGGATAGCTGATGAATGCACTCGCGGAAAAAAACTTGGCGGTTTTGGCTCAATAAAGTCATCGATGCTTTCTCGAACCTCGTCAACTGTTCTAAAATGCGTATCCGCCAGGTGATGTTGAAGCGACCGAAATGGGTGGTAATCCGACGGGGCTAGATCTGGCGAATAAGCTGCATGAGGGAGAATTTCCCAGCCAAATGTATAGATGATATCCTTCGTCCCTTTTGCAGTATGTGACCGCGCGTTATCGTGCAGCAGAATCACCTGCCTAATTCCACTACCGGTAAAAGATCTTTTTATAAGTTTTACAGGTCACAGCATCTTCACGCAAAGCGGAACAAATCATTTCGATATTGACTGAGCAGCATTTTTATTCAATTGGAGTGCAAAAAGGATGCAGTGCCCTAGATGTTCCTTTTCGTACGACATCGTGATAACTATTGTTTTCTGAGGGTTATATCGGCAAGGCCGTTAACTATTACAGTGTTTCTTACAGCTCAAGGTTGATATTTTCTAATCACAATATAGGACGGGGAAAAAATGTAAATTTGAACCAGAGTTATGCGACGTTAAATGTAAAGGCACCGAATTAACTTGTACATCTAGTAGATAGAAACCTACCGATAATGTACGGTGATATTAGAGCCGGTTACTGGATACGCATTTTATGAGAAACAGCCGCCGGGAGTCGAATATTAATGACCGTCGGCTCTTTCTCTGTAGCGTAAACGATACGCGTGATAAGCACGCGTTACCGTATGCATCCCGTGTGTATGGCTGCGTGTTATCGTCCGCCGGCGATACGCGTAACGACGCGAGATGGGACTTAATGCGCGCGATGCGATTTAACATAACGGATTACAGCAGCGCGACACAATACGGTTCTTACGGGGATCGCGCGAACGAAACAGCGGCGCGAGCCGCCGGTCGCTCGTGTCGCGCGAGCGCTCGCTCGTTATAGATATTCAGGTGTCGAAAGTCACGGTAATCCGCGGGATTTGCATAATATGGCGTGACGACGGGAGGTCGGCGCGGATGATAGTGAGGTTCGACGGCATGTTAAATGAATGAATGAAAAGTGCAAATGATAAATATACGCTCGTTGTAGCGCGATTTGTTGTAATTCCGACGCCACGTCGGCCGACGAGCGGACTCGGTTCGTTAAACGCGCAAAGCGACACGGAGGAAACAAATCTGCTGGAACAAATTGCTAGCAAATGTTTGTGGATAGTGTGATGGCAAAAAAAATTTGTTTAGACAATAAAAAATTTGTTTGGACGGTAGAAAGATTTGTTAAGAGTATTAATTGCTATTTGCTGGATATATGGACAATTAATACTCTTAACAAATCTTTCTGCTGTCCAAACGAATTCCTTGCTGTCCAAACAAATTGTTTCCTGCCGTCACTATATCGACAAACATTCGCTGTTCTGGCAAAATTGGTTTCCTCCGTGAGCGCATGTTGAAAAAAGACACTTTTGAAAAGTGATTTCTGAATAGCGTAGAGCTGAGAATTAATGGTTATGAAGTTATATAAATTAGATACCGTGAAACTTTGGTTCTCAAGAGTCACTTTCTCATATATCTCACGGTCTCAACGACATTCGCTCGCAATCGAATACATAGAATTAGTTTTAAGATTGTTTTAACGCCTCGAGAACACGCGAGGAGGCGTAGTTCGTAGAAAGAAATGCCGTATCTCTTATTTTCAATTAACTTGCGATGTGTCGAAGTCAAGCTCGTCAAAATCGGCGAGAGACACTCGCGTATCTTCATTAGAGCG